GAGGGGAGGGAGGGGATGGGAGGGTAGGGGAGGAAAGGTCACTACCGATTACAAATAAACTACCAATGGGAAGGTTTACGATAAATAGCTAGGATCCCCTTGATATGCCCCCCTCTGCTCCCTGTGTATGTATTGATTGATCCCCCAATGGATTCCCAGGTGTATGTTTGATTCAAGTGTCACTGCTGTAAATATGGAATGCTGCAACTGGCTTCAGCTTAATATTTCTTTTATCTCTAACACTGTTCTATCTGAAGTGTTTTATCCATAAATATATATGGATCCAGGAGTTAGTTTCACCTCAGTACAGTACTGACAAGCACTACGATTACTGGCTAGTTTTTCCCTCACAACAAGGATTATGAAGTAGCCTTTTCCTACACCCAAGGGTTATCAGATTTGTCATTTTGGCAAAAATGATTTTCAGCCAAAATATTCTTCCAATATCCTCTAGATTTAACATATATAATAACAAAAGGAACTGGCTTAATTAATAACTATACATTCGTATCTTTAAAGTACACGTCATAAAAAATTAATTATAATAAAATTTACATTTTATGCAAATGTTTTTCCCCCCAAGAAAACGACCCTAATAATTCTTGAAATTTTGATTAAATATAAAAGCTTTATACTACAGGCTTTCTTTTATAATTTTCTTCAATATATAATAGAGAACTTACATATTTTACTGTTGTCGTTATTTTGTCTATACTCAGTTCGTTACGTTCTGCCACAGGCAGCCCAATCTATCGTTCTGTGGTGTCGTAGTATTTGAATTCATGTATTCTTCGATTGCACATTACGTCATCGCGGCCATGTTGGTGCCATTTAACAAAATATTTCTCATTAGCATCCATTGTTAACGGCACCACAATGGCCGCCATGTCTTTGTCTTTTGACTCTCTTGGGAATGCTTGCAACCCATCAATGTTAACGGCAGTATTTCATAGCATGTAAAATTAGTACTTTTGAGAATAAAAATGGCTTAACTTGATAGCTATTCTCAAAAGTACTAATTTTACATGCCGTTAATAACATACATGAATTCAAATACTACAACACCACAGAACAAGAGGTTTGTCTGCCTGTGGTTCTGCACATCGTTCTGCGGATTCGCGGTCATGTTTTAGTCACGCAAAGCTTCCACTGCAATATGTAACGCAATATCTGTGATATAAAAAAGTAGATAGCATGAATATGTATCTATATATATATATACTTCGTTGTTAGTTGCTACCAAAAACAGCAGAAAATATCTTATAAACGGGAAACTTTCTTTTTTCCGCTTTAAGAATTAGAGTTTTTTTTTTTCGAATACGAAGCTTTTTAGCTATTATAAAATTAAGGATTAGTTTTTTTTCGGATACAAAGCTTCTTAGCTTTAATAAAAAATATCATATTATTAGGCATAGGTTTCGTTTAAATTCTCGTAATTCCGGGACAATTTTCTAAACGAGCGAAATCTTGATCGCTTGATGAAGTTGAAGGTGGATTCTCTCGAATATCTCGGTTCGTGAGACGACATACTTCGAGATCTCCTTCCAGGATTTATTTTTTCTTCGCTTTCGCTATCCTCGGCTTCAACTGCTTGATATACACACAAATCTTTACGAGTTTTATTATTCTTCCCATGATCTAAAGCAGATCGACGAGGTTTCCCTGGAAAATGTTTTGACACAAGTTTAGAGTAATTCTCTTCGCGAATGATCAAAACAGCTTTTCGAAGCTCACGAATCCACTCCAAGCAAAGTGACTCAGAATCTGCCTTCAATAAGTGAACTCCTCGCTTTGTTTGGAGGCTAAATTTGAGATTTTCTCCTCTGTGTTTTCGTTTGTTAAGTTCAGCGATCTCTGTGTTTATTGTTGGGTCTTGGATTTCTTGTCCTATTCGAGATCCTTTAACGTGAAGATTGACTGTTGATCCTTCGTGTAGCTCAATGTTTCCTGCCCATCTACCATCATTTGGATTGGAAAATATCAGTTTATTTCCTTCCAAGAGAACATAGAAACCTTTCCAGCTATTCTTTCCGATTTTTTTCTTTAAATTTCCCTTGTATGAAACAGATTCTTGCATAGCTAACGATTCCATATCCGCCATGTTTACGTCGAAGATAAGTCGTACTGTAGCACATTACCAGAGGATCTGTACAATTTTGTACTTAAAATACTGAGCAGTATTGAAGTATTTTCTTTTTCCGCAGTTTATATTTTGAATAGCATAATACATGTCCAAACATGAGTGTTTTTCGCTTAGAAAGGCTGATGCGCTGACTATCTTCTTGTCTGCGACTACAACTACACTCACTGACACGCGACTACTATAGTTAATTAATGATAACCATGACGTCACGGGTTTTAGAGGTAGTTACTCAGTATCCTATTGGCTAAAACTTTGCTTTCGGTCCTTTTGCAAATATTTGGACACGCAAGAAAGGTAGAAGAAAAAATACTAGGCATTTCGAAAAGGAAAAGCGATCTATTGACTGAACTACAGGCATCTACTCCCACGATCGCGATAGCCGAGTTTGGGCTTCCTGTGATGACGTCAAACTTTGAATACCTGGGCTGGTCCAGAGATTATTCTCAGCTGGAGCCCATGGTAAAATTTCGTTTACGTGCGTGAAACAATATAAGTAAACGTATGGAAAAGTCGGGGGGAGATAGCATTCTTACCAGTAATGAGATTACTAGTAATATATCAAAATCATTTAGTACACATTTTCCAGAAATATAATTCTTTTCTAAGACAAAAATATGAAACACCATCTATTTTCACCATCGCGCTTGAGATATCGGAAAGCGCATCTTTTGCGAATTGCATGGGTTTCCTATAGTTCGGTTATAATGACCGTGTGACTAACATTGGACACTGAACTTTAATGACCAATCCCCCCCCCGAGTTGGAGCCCGTTCTGCGAACAATAAACGCATGTTTTTGGAGTGTCTGCTTATTGACTTTACATACTTTATTTCCTCCTTTACGTAATACTACTAATACTAATACTACTAATGTAATACTAATCATGATGATGATGAGTCACGTTGCTATATTTCCTGCCAAAATGCATTGCAACTCTTTTTATAATAAAAGTTAGTGAATTAAAAAAGTGAAAAGCATCAAAGTTTTTATTTAAGGAACAAACAACTACTATGAAACAAATAGGGAGTGCGCCTGTGCAAAGATAAAAAGACGCAGACTTCGGCACTTCTTCTCCTTCTAAAAAATGAACGGTCCCATTACATGGTCTTGAGCTACATAAGAAAATACCACACCTTCGAAATCGAGCCCATATAGCCCAGATACTAATCGATGAAAGACGTCACAATAACCATGCAAGAATCTTTTTCCTCTACGAGTTCGATTAACAGCTTATACATTGAACATTTTCATACAGCATTTATTTACTGATTAGCGGCTCTAAATTTAGTGATCTTGTAGGTGAAGTGCAACTGAGATAGTGTCCAACCAGAACACAGCAAACAATGGTTTGAACTACAGTGAAAGAACGCCAGCTCCAAGAGCCCAGATAGTCCAGATACTGATCAATGAGAGATGAATGATGCTGACTCTCAAAGCCGTCGACGAACTGTTTACATCACAAGCCGAAGGTGGCGGTTGATATGGCTTGTTGAACGTAACCTTATTCCCAAGGTTCTTTGGGTCCATATGTTCCTTGGAAAATATAAAATAAAATAAAATAAAACATCCTTCGCAAGTCGCAATGACAAAACGCCTGTCTAATTGTTGATGGTACCTCTAGTAAAAGATGTTCCGGGTGACCTGAAAGCTCCTGAAAACATGGCGATGGACTAGCATTACCCCATTTAGGGGGTAGAATGCTCCTAAATGCTCCTAAACATTGATAAGCACCGATGCCGATGGCCACTACTCTCATCCATCCCCCTAACCCTGTGGGTCCCCATCTTTATTTTAGGGCAGAGTTTGAGATTGTTCCGGCGTGTAACTTACTGCAAATTTGACGGTAGAGTTTGCTTTGTCCGAGCAGTCTGATATCGTGTTTTCTTTATCGAGGAAATTTCTCAAATCGTTTGCCATTTCGTCGGTCCACCTGGGTTTAGCTGCGACAAGAGGGTTGTACCACCTGTTGGAATGAGCTTTGTAGGACCTAGGAAACAAAACAGATTAAAAACCAATTAGTGAATGAATGGATGGATGGATGGATGGATGGATGGA